GGGGACAGAGCTGCAGCTTTGCAAGGCGGAGAGTTCTGGGGATGGATGGGGTGACGGCTGCACCGCAGTGTGAACAACCTCAACGCGCTGACCTGCACCCTTAGCCACGCTTAAGCTGCAACGTTCATGTTATGCGTGTTTTACCACAACCTTAAAAAAAGCAAGAGGCGCTCTGTGCGCCCTTGAGGGAGGGGCTGTAAGCCTGTATCCCCCTCAGCATCGGCCCCGCGTCCAGGGGACACAGAACTCAGCACACGGTCCCAGGTGCCCCGCGGAGGGGAGTTTCCTGCGCTGGGAAGACAAGCCCGCGCCGCGTCCCAGGCTCCGTGCTGACGGCTTTATGGCTGGCTCTTAGCTACAGAATGCTGTTCCCGGGAACAACCAAGGAATTCCTAACACACTTTATTCTGGTAAGTATGTAGGTTAAACATTTGAAATCATGGTTTTTCATTTTCTCTTTAACAGCGTTTTTTACACAGTGGTGCTCGCCCGTGCGTTTTAACCGTCAGCATCTATCATCAGCGAAAGAAATGCGGCTTCATTTACTTTCCCTTGGGTCTCCCCTGGTTGAGGGGGCTGCCATGGCACCGGGGGTGGGGGGCCGCCCCAGGTGGGGCTGAGAGGGTCCTGCCGCCCGGAGCCCCTCAGCGCCGGCCCTGCCTCTCCTGTTACAGGAGGGCTGTGACCTCAAAGCTCCAGAAAACTCACCCTCCAGGTGCACACAGGCTGGATGCCGCCCCCCAGGGACATCGTGTCTTCCGAGGGCCCGCAGGGCTGTCTGCACCGTGGGCTCACCCCTGACACCACTAACCTGTACGTTGACAGTGGTCAAGGGCGTGACCATTCGGAGCTGGAGTTTAGCCGTCTCTCTCTCTCCCCCTCCCTCCTTCTAACTGTTCTGTCCTCTTTCTCATGGCACCGCCCCCACAGACGCATCGCTGGGAACCCCTGCACCTTCAGAGAGGCAGCATGAAGTGCAGGTAGAGCCTGTGGGGAAGGTGAGGGCGCTGGCCTGCTGGCACACGTGTGTGTCTGTGTGTCCG